AAAAATGGCAGTAGGCCGCTTTTGCACCCTAATTAACTCCATTCTTGCGGCTGGCAGAGGAGAAAGTCCTGGTGTATATGCAGAGTTTCCTCCACACTATGGGCAGGAAGATGCATTGGATTTCCAGTTGCTTTGTATCATCAGAGCAGTGCAGAAGAACCAGTGTAGAGGAAGTGTTCAGAAAGCTGTAGGGTTTTACATATTAAAATGTCAAGTGGTTTGGCAGGTAAATATGTAGCACTTTTGCTCTGAGCTAGTTTGCACCTGTTTAACCCTGGACTAACTCCATTGCCTTGAGTAGTGCTACTTCTAACTTATCATGACACCTGGTACCAGAAACACGTTCTCAGTCATGAAAATAAATGGAAAACACCAGTTAATCCATCCCCTCTTACAGTGCAGGACTGTTCCTCACGGTGTATTTTCCAGTAACTAGACTGAATGAATAACGCCTGCTTTGACATGCTACACGTCAAACCCTAAACAGAAGCCATTCCAGGTAAATGGGAGAATGACATGCAAACCAAAACTACTTTAAATAAAGCCTTATTTCGGTACACTATGACAGGTTTGTAAGGGGTTGTTTCAGTTCACTGGTACATTGCTCCATGAAGTAAAGTTTCATTAAGTGACTTACTGTTACAAAGTGTAACCAGGATTTGGGAGACCTAATGACAGTCTACAGCGTCAAATGAACTGCTTACTAAGTAATCTCTAAGAGGTAAACTGAATAATTTATTCCAGTTACTGAATCATAGGAAGAATATGTATTTGTAGCAACTTATCTACTGGGGTTAATTATTACATAGTTTGGGATTTGTATGCATGCCTCTTTCTTGCTTGATATCATAACATTCATTCTGAATGAGCCTTGAAAATTTTTGTGAAATCATGCATTGACTCAAGGAACAAAATGCTGAAAAGAAGTCTAGCAAAGTCCAGTTGTCGGGTCTGGTCAAGCACCACTCAGTGTAGAGCCCAAGGGCTAGTGACAAAGTTGACTGGAAGTCACAAGCGGTCCAAGTTTGGGGTGTCCAACCTGTGGCATCTGTGCTACAAGTGGCACAGGTAGCCTCTGTGTTTGGCACTCAGAAGATTGGGAAGGCAACAGGGAGCACATCAGCAGATAAGGCAGGGAGCAGACAGCAGAGCAGCAGATCATGCAGGAGCACAGAGCAGGGAGCAGAAAGTGAGTAGCAGATAAGGCATGGAGCAGAAAGCAGAGCAGCAGATCAGACAGAGGAAGGGCTTTACAGTGGCACTCAGAGAGGGCTCAGGATAAATTTGTGTCACACCTTCCAAACAGAAATGGCCCCTGCAAGTCTAGTTAATCATAACTGCCTGCAGTTATACATACATGCTCTTCTACCTTCATATGTACTCTAGGGCATGAGGGTGCCTGTAGATGTGCAGGGACACTGGTCTGATACGCTGTATTAACAGTGCATCACAGCAGATACAATGAATTGAGTCTGCTGGAGTGTGCTAATTAGTGCGCTCCAGCAGCCTCTGCATCTCATGTATTCAGGGTCCCCATGCTTCAAAATGGCAGTGGGGGCGCTTTCACTAAAGCTCTTTAAGCAGGCTTTAGTTAAAGCACCCCCATCTCCATTTTGAAGTGTGGGATGTTGAATACATGAAACACTGCAGGCACTTTAATTAGAGCAGCTCTAATGAAGAGGCCTCCCCCCACCCCAGGCGCATGGGTAAAGATGCCCTGCATACCTTCCAGTGGTATAGTAAGCACAGCTTTTGCAAGCCAATGCCAGTTGTGGTGGTGGTGCACAAAACCCCTGTGAATCCCTACTACGCAGACCATTCGGACACCTTGAAAGTCCTTGTGGATCATCCTCCAACCTCCATTTTTGGGTTAGGCAAATCTCCGCTCCCTTCCTTGTCTTGTTGAGTGCATGCTCCGTTATTCTCTGACCTCTAGCAGTCACCTCCTTTTTTGGCATGTCATCCTACAGTCCTAGCGCTGTCTCTGATGGGTCCTTGGACTTCAGCCTTCTCATGCTAACTGATACTACCTCAGCAGGCCTCACTTATGTTCAATACTCACCTTTTGACTGTCTCTAGGTGTAGTGACCATGTTTCATAGTTTCATAGTTTCATAGATTTAGGGTCGGGAGGGACCTAGTAGATCTTCTAGCCCGCCCCCCCGCCAGGGCGGGAGAACAACAAAACCCCAAAACAAGAAACGGGACTCAAATGAGTCCAGCCAGGTAGGCATCCAGCCTCTTCTTAAAGACCCCCAGGGTAGGGGCCAGCACCACTTCCCTTGGAAGTTGGTTCCAGCTCCTAGCCACCCTAACTGTGAAGTAGTTTTTGCAGATGTCCAATCTATACCTCCTCTCCATCAACTTGTGCCCATTACTCCTTGTTATGCCAGCGGGCGCTAGGGGAAACAGCGTCTCCCCCAAACCCTTCTGGTCCCCCCTAGTGAGTTTATAGACAGTCACCAGGTCCCCCCTCAGCCTTCTCTTGTGGAGGCTGAATAGGTTCAGGGCCCGCAGTCTCTCACTGTAGGGTCTGCCCTGTTGTCCCCGGATCATGCGGGTGGCCCTCCTCTGGACCCTCTCCATGTTGTCCACATCCCTCTTGAAATGGGGCGCACAGAACTGGACACAGTACTCCAGCTGTGGCCTGACCAGCGTCACATAGAGGGGGAGGATCACCTCCTTGGCTCTACTCGAGATGCACCTGTGGATGCACGACAAGTTCTTCAGGCACTAAACAGCCTTATCTTAAAGCAGAGTTTTTAAAACAAAAACATATTGAAAAAGATCTTAAAAGAGCACCACATATGCCTGTCTAAAGTTACCAGCCATCCAGCCATCTTCCTCATGAGGATACTGGCAGGTCTATGCTATCTGTGGAACCCACTGCCCCCATATTTCCCTGTTCCTTGAATTCCCCAAAATAGTTTGTTTCTCCAGGGATAAATTCTTTCCCTTTCTCCATCCCCTTCCCCGCCTGCCACTTCCCCACCTGCCACTGCTGCTTTTCCCACTGTCCTGGGGACTTCGGAAGCGCCAGAACCAGACCCAGCCAGGGCTGCACAGGGGCTGGGCTTGGCTGGGGACTGGGACAGTGGCAACTGCATGCTGGGAGAGCAGCTTCCCCTTCCCTGCCCAGTCCCCCAGGACCATACGCAAGCCCTGATGCTGCTGTCATCATCCTCAGCTGAGCCCAGCCCCTGTGCAACGCAGCTGGAGTGGGCAGGAATAGCTCTGGTGCTTCCCTGGGACAGTGGCGAAAGCAGCAGCAGCAGGTGGAGGAAGGGAAATGGGGAGGGGTGAGGACTGAGGAGGGGATGGAAAGGGAGAGGTCTTTCCTCTGAGCATGAAGAGGAAGGGAGAGGGGATTTTCACCTGGTTTAGGAACTTTAAAAAGTCCCCAGAGGCTCTCATGTTGTGGTCCAATCCAAATGGGGGGTCCAGCTGCACCACACTGGATCTGCCCTGACTTCCTCTTGCATTAGAAGTTGTCCAGTCTTTAATAGGGCCTCTTCTCAGAGAGCAAGTCTCTTCTGCTGTTTATAGCTCTTCACTCTATTCTATTGGCTCCCAGTGTGGGTTAAACAGCTGTGCAGCCCTGGGCTGGAAGTAAGCCATTGTCCTGTAATTTCCCCCCAGGGATGTGCTGGGATATTGCTAATCTAGATCCATTGTGTTTCTTTCTTGCTTGTCCTTTCACCAGCCTGGTCTTCAGCTAGAATAATGTATTCACCCAGGGAAGTCTAGTAAATTTGCACAGTTGTACAAGAGCTTTATCTCACTGATGGGGGTCACATGCTGGATTTGTAATGTTATAATTATACATCAGTGTTTAATAGCCCCATGTTGGCCATAGTTCTGGTCCCCACACCCCAAAAAAGCTATAGAACTGAAGAAGGTTCAGAGAAGGGCAGCAAGGATGCTGAGTGGTATGAAGGGATTTCCACATGAGAAGAGGCTGAAGATGATAGGCCTATTCAGTTTAGAAAAGAGATGCCTGCGAGGGGACATGATAAATGTTTACAAAATACTAACTGGCAAGGAGCAAGTAAATAGGGATATATTATTTCCTATGTCTCACAATACAGAACTGGGGGTCACAAAATGAAATTAATAGGTAGTAAGTTTTAAGCTAACACAAAAGTGCTTGTCCACACAGCCTGTAATTAAAGTGTGGAACGCATTGGCACCGGATGTTCTGGAAGGTGACGGGTTAGCCAGGTTCAAAAAGGGACTGGACACATTCTTGGAGAAAAGGGGCATCAGTAGCTATGGAGCATGGGAGTTAGGGAGACAGCCTCTGAATTCGAAGTTCTTAGACCTTAAATGCTGGAGGCTGCTAGTCAGAGAGGAAAAGTGGGAACAACCCTGATCATACCCAGTTCACTCTCTCTTTCAGCATCTACTCTGCCACTGTGAGACACAGGATACCGGGCAACATGGACTAGAGTATGACCCAGTAAATGGAAGTTCTTGTGTTTGTATGTGGCTGTGGACAGCGTGGGGCAGGACAGACTGTGGCATGCAGCAGTTTGCATAACACTTCAGCCAGAGCCTGCTGCACCTTTGGGCTAAAAATGGTCTAATTGTTACACACAAGCTGTCATTGCTTTAATGCAACCAACATACCGTTTGGGCATTAAAATCCTAAAATGCAAATATGCAGAACTGTGGCATCAGCCCTTTATTTTGTGGATGTTTTTTGGAAGTTGGAGATGGGGAGTCTGGACAAGGACGGTTAATGTAAAATGTTTGCTTTGCCCCCCTCTTTCTGAGAACGAGAGACCAAGTTTAGTCATTTTCTCATAGCTGGTGGTAAGTTCTCATTAGAGACGTGAAAGTCTAAATGTTTACACAAGAAGTAGATGTATACCGGTAATGCATTACCAGTTAACATTTAGCGTGGGGTGCAGTCCAGCAAGGAAGGGAAGCAGCTCTGTGCCTCAGGAACAGGAAGGTGGCAAGGCAGGTGGGAAGGAGGGAAGCAAGGAGGAGGGGAAGGGCGAGGAGGGACTAGTATCCATAGCTAGTCTACTCCCTCCCTCCCAACACACCGGCAGCTGCAATGGGCTGGCAAAGCCCCTAGCCTGTTGCTGTCCATGGCTTCACATGGGCTGTGTTGTCTGGTGGGGTTTGCTGCTGCCTCCTCCCCACCATCAAAGGCCCCGAGGAGCAACTTCCAACAGCAGCCGTGTCCAAGTGCATCTGTGCACGGCCCCCAGCTCCCCATGCTGCTCTGGGCAAGTGGCAGGCTGGGGCTGGCGCCCGGCTCTGCAGCCCCGACCAGGACAAGGTATGTTTCAGGTAACCGTTTAACCAGTAAAATTAGAGAAGGTTAAGAGGATATTTTTTTCAATGATATATGCATCCCTAGTTCTCACGAGGAGAAGATGTGGCTTTTCTGACAAAGGAGGGTCTATATTCAGGGATGTGTGGGTGTTGATCATCAAGGCACTGATGCTATGAGGAAGAAGGTAACAGTGCAGGAACTTTTCATTTGACTATTGCACTGATGCATATCCCAGATGATGACTGCTAAGATTGCTGCCTAGACTGAAGGTTGGGCTTCCTTAAAAGTAAATAAACTGTGCTGCATATGACACACCAGAATTATTTCCTCGGCAGCTATTTTTCACTCTGAGTTGTGTAGGGTATTTAGACAGAACCATGGGCTGCCAGGGAGAACATCTGTTGCTCTGACTGCTTGCAAGGAGTAAATGTGTGTTGGTAGAGAAGGGGCCATCAGGGCAGGTTTTGGAAGAGTGAGTTCAGCTCCTATGTTCGGTGCTGTTAAATCCTGGGCTTTTCACTTAGGTACAGTTTTTACAAACTAAAAACATAAAAATGTGGAATAGTTAATAATACACAAATTCATTTATATTGCCCCTTTTCCAACGCACCAGAGGAATGCAGCCATTTCTAATGTTGAGCGCATCAGCCAACTGGCTCACAATCTGCCATGTGAAAGAGTATGGAGGGGTAATTAGAGCCATTGCTTCCAAAGCAAATCCCTAGTCATAAAGAAGGTGCTATTGCATCTGCAAGACAAAACTCTACCTTCATCTTTGTTGCTATACAACTGCACTGAAGTCACTTAATTGGACAGTTCATTGGACAGTCTTATTCTAGAGAGCAGAATTAGTTCTATACTTCATTAATGTCTACATAAAACAGAGGATTTTAGTTTGAAGTCTTCACTTAAAGACTCACTCCAGTGTTCACTACAATGGCGTGCACAGTGAAATCTGGCTAATTAGTCACTGGGATGACTTATCATTATGGTCTTATTGCATTGAATTTCTACTAGGGTCCTATTGTTTAATGCACAAAACACTTTGGCTAATTTGTCATCTGTTAAACTGTAGTGATGGAATCACTAAATCACAGTGGAATTTGCTCCTGATAATTAGTTGACTTGAAAGATACTGACCTGTATCCTCCATAGCACCTACCAATGCAGCTGATGCTTGCAAAGCACTGGGTACTCTTCCGTTTTCTTGGCTCAACAAAACACAGTCAACCAACCAGTTCATATTTGCAGAATTATCTCCTGACTTGACAATGAGTGCATGTAGGAAAGCAATGCAAAAATTCTTGACTGATTATTTTTCTGCATCATAATTATATAATTCTTATATACTCAGAATTTTTTATGTAAGAGATTGTACATTAGGCATTTGTATAATCATACAATCCTCATGTAGCAAGCCAGAATGCCTACAGTTTATACTTGGAATTCATGTCATATATTTTTGTTCATCACAAATATAAAAATATATATATTCCTCGCTGTATCTTGATATGTCAGGCAAAATACATCCTGTGAAATGCTGAAAATACTGATAATAGCTAACTGCTATCAGAAAACGACTTATTATTAGTCACGCTTGGATAATTAGTCATCTTTATTAATTCCCTGGGGACTATGAATTAACCAGACTTTACTGTCTATAGCTCTGGAGGAGAAACAGGACTGAACCAGCCTATCTGGGATGTAATCCTGTGACTTTAAAAATAACCTATATCCTCACCAACTTGTTGCTTATGGAGATGAAGGGATGGTCCTTACTGCCTCCATGCTGACACTGGGACTGCCATCCATTTGGCACATCACACTTGGAAATTAGGCAGGGTTGGCACAGCCCAAGGTGGCACAGCCCAAAGCTGCTCTTGGTCTCTCTGTCTTGGGTATGCTTCTTGATATGAGGTTGAGGCTTCTCTAAGACAACTACGCTGTCAGGTTGGTTGGCTTTTGTGAACACTGAGCAGAAGGTAATGGTTCTTGACAAAGGTCCTGGGCTCCACGATGGTTTGATTGGGCTCAATTTCAAGCTCTATTGAGCAGAAATAGTATAGCCATGCTTTAGTATTCAGCATCTCTGTCTCCAGACTAGGCTGGAACCTGTAAGTGCAATATGCACAAATGTAGCAACCCATCGTTATGCTGGTGAATGCTTGTGGCAGTGGGACTATTGTTGCTATGATTACTGTATTGTAAGAGTCTCTAAGGGTGCCAACGGAGATCTTGGCTCCAGTATGCTTGGTGCTGTACAAACAGAATAGAACATCTTAATAACAAAGACACTGCAAATGTGAGAGATCAACAAGAGCAGATTCAAAGTCAATAAAAAGGCACTTTGATGGGCTCTAAATTGCAGCTTTGTTTCATTTTCATTCAAAGCTGACTCTTGGCGCACCAAGGCAAACTTATTTTAAACTCTGTCCCTTTTTGCAGGTTTTTTGATCATCACTAGCACTTGTCAAAACTGTGGATTCCTCAAAGAAAACCTGAAAAAAGTTTGTACCAGATTTTGAATGTTTTCCCATTTTCCTAAGAATTTCTCTTGCTATGAATAAGCTTTAAGCAGTCAGACCATTAATGAGATGTGAAGTGGTCTGTTAAACAAACATTTTAGGAAATTTTAAAAGGTTGATTCTAAGAAGAGAGAGGTTTTGGTGGGAAGGAAAGTTATTGTTTATATCAGAAACAGCTCACACCCATTGTTTACATTTTTTTCTCAGCAGTATCTGTACTAAGTCCTGATTGCCATCAGGCCTTGGCCTGGTGAAAACATATTCCATAAAAAACTTTTTTTTCCCTACCCAATGGACATTTTTGGATTAAAAAAAACATTGTGCAAAGTGTCATCTTATTTTTAAAAATATATAGCAGATTATTTCAGTTTAAAACAAACCCTTCAACTCAGACTGTTCTGTTCCTGTATCTCACGGGAGGAGAGAGTGGAGCATTATGGCAGAGGTTATTTGAACAATGAATTCAACCAGCTTTAAGGGTGAATTGTATTGGTTTTTAATATTTTGGACAAAAAATAGAGTTTTTTTGTGGACAATCTCATTTTTGCGTAGAAATATTCTTAGAGGAATAGAGAACTAATGGGGTGGGACAAGGGTTCGGGCCAGAAGTACAGATATGCTTCCTTCCTTCCTTCCTTCCTTAGGACCAGGCTCACTTGGAGCTGCATGGGGCAATCCTGAGCGTAAGACTCCCTGGCTTCCTATTTCTTTTCTTTTCTGACTCCCACCTGTTTAAATGTCTCTTGCCTCTGTTTATCTCCCTTTCTGATTCTTTTCTTGCATTTTCACAGTATTTTTTCTTCTTTTTCTCTGCTCTCTGTCCCCTCCCCCTCCACTTCCAGTTTCTTTGTCTACAAGTTGTTACTTTACACCTTTTTTCTTATTGTTTCTTTTTCTTTTTTCCTTTC